AAGTACCGCAGTGAGTACAAACAGACGTTGTGAAATTTGTTCAGTGTCTCATTCTTTCCTTAACACCTAACTGTAAAAGCTAGCAGAAGGAAGACAATGTTTTTTTTTCTAAACATACGTAGAGTTATTGACAAACCTTGCCGTTGCTGAAATAAAATAGGTCTTAGTTTTTTTTTATATTTTCAAGCACGGTTATAAAAAAAATTAGATTCGGATATTGATTTTTAAGTAAAATGGTAGTGCAAGAGATCGAATTGTTTGGGGGCGAATGGTGTGTTTTAAAATAGATGAGTGAGGGGAGATAATTTAAAATTGAATATTCGTTGTGAAAAAAAGGGAAATAATATTAAACAATCAATTTTGGCAGAAACGAAAATTTTTAATATTGACACGATAATGTTTCAAACATTCAAATATTGTCTGTATTTTTTTTTAAATTGCAGATAAGATCTCAGCGTTACGTGTCTTCCAGTTGGGGGGGGGGGGGGGGTAATTCTCGAATTTCCTACTTTTTATCGCATCTATATTTAGAAAACATGATTTGGTGAAACTCTTGAACCAAAATGATTTTAAAAATGGACTCAAAGACGTCGTACGGACTCGAGTCCGGTATCTGAACTCGAGACTTTCAGGTTGGCAGTCGAACGCTCTACTATTCGACCACTAGTATACCACGGTGATCATTCATTCTTTGCAATTCCAATAAAGCACCATTTGGTCACCTTTCTCTCGCTCAACACTGAGCTTACCCAAAGGTGTTCCAGTCCGCTGGGCTATTTTTTTTATTTTGAACCCCCCCCCTCTCCCCACCCCCAACACACACACACACATACAATCTACCAATTATCCCTTCCGACACGACCTCAATTAGACCCCAGGTAGATTGTACTCTATTTTGTGTGGTAAAACTGTCAAGTAATTTTTTAAAAATGTAACTAATTACTTACATTGTAGGAACGTCGTTGAATTCTGAATTTTAAAACAATAATAATATTCGTATTTTTACTTGAAATAAAATTCGCTCATAATATCGTGTGTACAAAAGTGTACGTTGTGTCGGAAGGGTTTGTATTTCAGACAAACTCTGAAACACAACAAACTTTCAATTTAGCGCCCCCCCCCCCCCCCCGGGACAAACTTTCAATTTGGCGCCCTACCCCCCCCCCCCCCCATATTTTGTATATTTATAATTTTATAGAGCAAAACTGCAGCTAAAATGAGCTTTTATTTTTTTCCCACCCATTTTGGCGCCACCTTTATTCGGCGCCTGGGGACATATGTACCCCCCCCCCCTAGCTATGACTCTGTTGTATTTTTAAATTTCCTCCCTTCAATGACATTTACATTCCCAGTATAAGAACGCCGTACTTTCCAGTTTAACTCCTTAAGCTCCCTCTAAACTCAGACAGTATTTTACTTCGCAATTTTCCAAATCTGCGCTAAGACCCAGCGGAGACGTATCGATTTTCCCGAGCGATGAAAAGGTCGCTAACTAGTGCGCATGCTCCGTAGCACCGGATGTTGTCAAACATTTCATTTTTTATTGCCCGGCAATCTTCTGCCATTGCTAGAGCGTTTCTCTGAAATTAGCCTTTTGTTTTGTTAGTTTTGGACTACTTTTAAACATTGAGTTTTAACACTTTATATTTGTTTTTGGACATTTTACTTTAATTTGTATTTTATGTCTGAGTTTTCCAAAAAAAAAAAAATTAAAAAAATTACGTCAATTTTTATATCACAGCGGGACAGGAAAAAGTAAAAACAAAGTAAAAAAAATAAGGAATTATATTTATTAAGCGTGACGGTTCAAGGGACAGATAAAATATAGGGCATTTGTTTCTATAATCTCGTCATATGAACGGAGAACAAGTCGCCCATACTTTCAGTGTTTCTTTTTCCTTTTTTCCTTTTTTCTCCGGAGGGGGGGGGGGGGGGGGGGGGGTACGCTTAAAATTTTTGGGAGGAGGTGGGGACCGACTTAATTTTCCGGAGAGGGGGGGGGGGGGGGGGGGAAGTGTGGACACTTGTAAAAGTATATATGTTCTATTTTAATTCTATGTTTTTCGGGAGGGGGGGGGGGGCGGTAGGCTTTCTTCCACCCCTCCTTCCCCTCCCTCCCCCCTCCCCCCGAAGAGATGCCTGAAAGAAACTCTGCATACTTTCCACTTCTGGAGAAGAGAGGTTCAAAGCTACAGTACCGAGTAGTACCCGAGAATTGAGAGTCGACTTACTTAGCGATCTACTACCTAACCACGCCGCTCCATAAAGGATGTTGACAGTATCAGAACTGGGCAGATAGAAAGTTTCTAAAAATTGATTCGATAAACAGCGAATCAATTAAATCTCCAATTCTCATTTCGATAATGATCAAATTAGTTTCGTATCTAATATCAACGAATTTTATCACCAATCAATATTATGAATAAACATATCGAAAGCTTTTTACGTCAATCATACTTATGGGTAAAAAAAAAAACAAATTTTCTGTCAATTTGATCTATTCTGCCAAAAACTCCAAGTTGAGAATCTGATATCTGTACAAGAATGTCATTCACATGAATCAGAGAAAAGCAAATATTTTCCCATATCCAATTTAACATCGGGGATTCCCAATGGGCAAGTTTTAAACTCAAGAAAAAAAATAAAAGGTTTTGTTTTAGGTCGTGTTTCTATTCTTTGTAAACACAAATTGTAAGAGTTTTGTTACACAATAAAGACGACCATTGAAATTTTTTATTTACTTACATTTTGTGAATTGAGAATCTGTACTTACATCATCAGTGGGGAGGGGGGTGGGGGGACTGGTTGTGGTATCTCAAAAGAGAAATTAATTTTTTTAAAGGAAAATCTCCAAGAACTAACTCATTGTATTTTTTAAATGTTATATCTTCTTCCCAACTGATCAAATAAATTTACCTTCGAACCTGATGGCCCATAGGCCAAGTAGAGTTCACCTGTTGCTGTGACCTAGGCGTATGAAGGGAAAGCGTGGCCAGCACGATGCCCAGCCGCCTTTACTTTCCCAAATGTGAATCAAGATACCTATCAGAGCTGGACTAATGAACGTTGTACGAACTTGAACCCGTTTTCACACTCGAGACTTTCGGGTTAGCAGTCGTATGCTCTACCATTCGACCACACCGTTCAGCAACGAACTTATTATAGAAGTGTAAACAAGCCATTCTACATCAACAAACACACATAAATCGACCAGCGTTACTAAGTGACAAAAGACAGTATTGCTTCTTCTTGCATACCCACAGGGGGGGGGGGGGGGGGGGCAGGAGTTGGGACTACCATCCCATTTAAATTTTGTATGGGGGTTTGGAAGGTCCCATCTTACAGGATATGGTGCTATTTCACCTTGCAAATAAAATTATTTTAAAAACGTGTTAACGTATGTGTGTGTGGGAAAAGGGGGGGGGGGGGCACATCTTAGAGAAGATTGTACAATGTCACCATGTATACAACGTATAAAATTGGTGCGCGTATATGTATGTGTGTGTGTGTGTGTGTGTGTGTGGAGAGAGGGGTCCCATCTTAGAGAATTCGGTATGTCACCATGCATACCAATATATGAAATTAGGTGTTGGTATTATTTGAGTGTGTTGGGAGGGAGGTCACATCTATGAGTAAAAGGTGCTATTTCATCATGTGTACCAACATATTTACATAATGTATGTATGTGTATGTGTGTGTGTGGCGGAGGACGCCCCATCTTAGAGAAGATGGTATGTTGCCATCTTGCATAACAACGCATAAGAAGGCAATATCTCGGAAGCGGAATATGTAGTGGAAAGGGGGTGGAAAGGTGGTTGAACGGGGGGGGGGGGGGGTGGCTGGACAGAGGCAACAGAAGAAAAAAAACGGAATTGACGAGGCTGAGTTGTATTTGTGTTACGTGCTACGGAACCTGGCCAACTCTTGCACAAGGAGTTATAGAACGTCGTCCAAAGGGGGAGAAAAACCATGTCTTGTTGTAAGGGAGACAACTTGATTTTTTTCTTTAAAGAGTTAACACCCTTGGCCAGTGCAGTGGCCAGTGAAGAAAAAAACAACGTGTAAAAAAAAAAATAACGAACTATTTGTAATACCCGCTTTCTATTTTTATCCCGAGATTTCCGAATGCTCTTCCTGACATTCATGATTGTATGAAAATTCCATCAATTCAAATAACACGATGGAGACATTTTTTTTAAAATCATTTTTTAAACAAATATTCATTTAACACGTTTCGATGCCAGATATAGGAAGGAACATCTCAATTACAGACACCCCCTCCACTCCACTAGCTCTTAATAAACTAAAATAGAACCTAGAATTGCTGCCCCTGGAAAATATCGACCGCTGTTAAAAGTCTCTATTTTTTTTTCAATTGTTTTTATAAGAAGATTGTAACAAAATATTCCATTTCTTGTGATTGGACGCGGAAAATGAAACTATTGAAATACAAGCTGAAGATAAATGTCTCGGTGAATAAAATTTAAAAAAATATACGAAATAGGACGCGATCGAATCAACAGAAACTGCAATATTAAAATACAACCACAGAATATTTTATATCTTTAAACTTCATTGTAATATACATTTTCATTTTTATGTATCGATAACTGGTAGTTATTAAATTGCTTGAAAAAAATTTAAAAATCTTTACAGAAGTTCTGATATCGATTATAAAGTAATGACAACACCCTCACGCTTTTCGTTAGATTGTCGGTCCACCAAACTGAACTATCAAACCTGTTTTTGTACACTCTGTCTATCTTCCAGCAACCTCACGATCACTATTCTCCCTCCCCCTCTACTCGTCACCAAGAGTTTTGTCCCTTTCACCAATCTTCCACTCCATTAATCATTTACTACTTCCCCTTCTTTTCAGTCCTCCTCTACTCTCTCTTCTCACCAATCCTCCAATCTCCCCTACTCCCCACTCACCCAATCTTCTCACCAATCCTCCAATCTCCCCTACTCCCCACTCCCCACTCACCCAATCTTCTCACCAATCCTCCGATCTCCCCTACTCCCCACTCCCCATTCACCCAATCTTCCATCAATCCTCCAATTTCCCCTACTCCCCACGCCCCATTCACCCAATCTTCCATCAATCCTCCAATCTCCCCTACTCCACACTCAACACTCACCCAATCTTCCATCAATCCTCCAATCACATTCTTAACCCACCACACCCCTGGGAAAAAAAAATACCGTGATTACACCTTGTGCGCATGCGTGACTGATCTCTGTTTAGACGCGTTGCCATGGAGTTCCTCCATGTTGTTGGTTTTAGTTTTACGACAATGCCGCCTTTAATTCAACGCCGCGGTTAAAAATAGCGCCACTTTATTTTTTTTATTATCTTACTGCTAATTAGGTTTTTTTATAATCTGAAATTATGAGGAAACCATAGTTACAACTTAAACAAAACGTCATGTTTCACTTTGGATAATTAAAAAAAAAACGCCCCCTTTTAGTAAAGCACCCATCATGGTATAGTTTAAAACAAAAAGAAAAAAAAAAAATAACTTGCGTTAAGTGTCAGTGGTAAAATTAATCTGGCAACATACAGCGATTTTTATGTCCCGTAAAGTAATCCCAAAAACCAGTTGCCAAATTGCAATTTTTTTAATTGCAAATTTTATTATTTAGATAAAAACAGTCAATAAATAAGTTGTCTTTCGCGGTCAAATCAGGTTCTAAAATATAAACAAGTTCAATTTTACAAAAACACCGTGTTTTGATAGAGTAGTGTTGACTGTATAATTGTTAATTATGGTGGTTCTGTAGTAATCATTCACGTGGAACTCATTACCACGCTTTTCTGATTTTCTAATTACGAGTGGACTTTAGGCGCTGCCTGCGAAAATAGAGTTTCTTTCAGGTATCTCTTCACCGTGGCACCGTCCCCCCCCCCCCCCACCTCTCAGCACATCTTCTGCCCCCCTCTTCCCTCCATCACTAGATATATAAGTCCGCTCCCAAAAATTTTAAGCGCCCCCCCCCCTTTTCCGGAGGAAAATGTCTGAAAGAAAACACTGTGTTAACACGACCGTGAGATTTTTATACGCTATTTTTTTTGTTTTAAAATACATCAGCTGACTTAATATTACGGTGTAATTATTTTCTATCGCTAATTGGTCCCAAGCTAGATGTTTAAAGTGCGTTGAGGAGTTATTATACTTATCATTATTGATAACTAATACTATTTATATTTTGGAGCAAGAGGTTGCAGAGTTTCTTCCAGGCGAAGCGCCCCCGAACAAATTTTACCCCCCCCCCCCCCCCGAGCGAAATGAAATTTATGTAATTTATATAGAAAATATATACTTTTAACAGTGTCCGCCCCCCCCCGAAGAAAGTCTACCGCCCGCCCCCCCCCCCCCCCCCAAAAAAAAATTTCAAGTGCCCCCCCCCCCCCCCCCCCCCCCCCCCCACCCCGGAGAAAAAAGTCTGGAAGAAACACTGAGAGGTTGTGACTTTTTTGGAGAAACGTAGGTTTGTGAAGTGATAGACGAACTTAAAAAAAAAATCATTATACTTAGATATTGTTTACTTCTATCAACCAATGATATTTTTACCATCACAACATTTAGGCACGACTTTAAATTCTTCCCGGGGTAAAAGCAAAGGAAAAAGAAAAAAAACGTTATTTTGATTACACGACAAAATATTTTTTCTATATATTTACAGATTAAATAAACCGGGAGTGATCTCCGCTAAACTTTCTCGAATATTCTTATATAACACTACGGGGGATGGCTACTCGAAATATAGAGCTGATTTTTAATCAATTTTTAATTACTTAAACATTTTAAAATAGAATAGAATCTCGTAGAAAATATAATCACGCACCAAGTGGACATCAAAATTTTTTTGTGTATAATAGTGCGGAATATTATTAGTGCTTTATAAATTTACATGCCTTTTTTGAGAAATCGGAAATAGCATAAATTACTATTTCCGGTCAACGGAAATTACTCAAATTTCGATCGAAGGCAGAGAATTAGATCTTTTACTAACATGTGAAATTTCATTTATCTATCTGAAACAGTACTCAAGTTATAAGCTTTTGAAAACTTGAAAGTAGAATAAGTGCCACTTACGGTTATCGGAAATCGCTGAAAAGTTGTTACAGAACTACAAATTTAATATAATACTACTATATGAAATTTCATCAACCTAGCCGTAACGGTACTCAAGTTATCGTGTTCGCAGACACACATACACACACATACACACATACACACACAGACATACGGACAAGATTGCAAAATTATGTTTTTTCCGACTCAGGGAGGTGTAAAACGTCTCGATTTTTTTTGCACGATTACAATTCTTTCTCTATACTTCGTATACGAGAAAGTAAAATTAGTTCGCTTCATTTAAGTCATGCCCAGATTTTAAAAGCTGTCTTAGAGAATAAAGTTTGCGATTTGCAAGGAATTGTATAGTTAAAAATAGAACAAATAGGCAGTTTGTCGTTACGCAATCAACGCAAAGACACCAGACGAGGGGTGATCGATAACATCCGTGATATCGGACACAAGGGGAGTACACGGTGAGGTAGATGACATCAGGTGGGTACACGGTGAGGTAGATGACATGAGGGGAGTACAAGGTGAGGTAGATGACAGGAGGGGAATATACGGCGAGGTAGATGACATGAGTACACGGTGAGGTAGATGACATGACAGGAGTACACGGTGAGGTAGATGCCATGAGTACACGAAGAGGTAGATGACATGAGGTGGGTACACGGTGAGGTACATGACATGATGGGGGTACACTGTGAGGTAGATGACATGGGTACACAGTGAGGTAGATGACATGACAGGAGTACACTGTGAGGTAGATGACAGGAGTACACGGTGAGGTAGATGACATGACAGGAGTACACGGTGAGGTAGATGCCATGAGTACACGAAGAGGTAGATGACATGAGGTGGGTACACGGTGAGGTAGATAACAGGAGGGGAGTATACGGTGAGGTAGATTATATAAGGTGGGTACACGGTGAGGTAGATGACATGAGGGGAGTACACAGTGAGGTAGATGACATCAGGTGGGTACACGCTGTGGTATATAAAATGAGGTGGGTACACGGTGAGGTAGATGACAGGAGGTGGGTACAAGGTGAGGTAGATGACAGGAGGTGGGTACAAGGTGAGGTAGATGACAGGAGGTGGGTACAAGGTGAGGTACATGACATGATGGGGGTACACTGTGAGGTAGATGACATGGGTACACAGTGAGGTAGATGACATGACAGGAGTACACTGTGAGGTAGATGACAGGAGTACACGGTGAGGTAGATGACATGACAGGAGTACACGGTGAGGTAGATGCCATGAGTACACGAAGAGGTAGATGACATGAGGTGGGTACACGGTGAGGTAGATGACATGAGGTGGGTACACGGTGAGGAAGATGACAGGAGGTGAGTACACGGTGAAGTAGATGACATCAGGTGGGTACACGGTGAGGTAGATGACATGAGGTGGGTACACGGTGAGGTAGATGAATGAGGTGGGTACACGGTGAGGTAGATGACATGAGGTGGGTACACGGTGAGGTAGATGAATGAGGTGGGTACACGGTGAGGTAGATGACAGGAGTACACTGTGAGGTAGATGACAGGAGGTGGGTACACGGTGAGGTAGATGACATCAGGTGGGTACACGGCGAGGTAGATGACAGGAGGTGGGTACACGGTGAGGAAGATGACAGGAGGTGAGTACACGGTGAGGTAGATGACATGAGGTGGGTACACGGTGAGGTAGATGACATGATGGGAGTACACTGTGAGATAGATGACATGAGTACACTGTGAGGTAGATGACATGAGTACACGGTGAGGTAGATGACATGAGTACACTGTGAGTTAGATGACAGGAGTACACGGTGAGGTAGTTGACATGAGGTGGGTACACGGTGAGGTAGATGGCAGAACACGGTGAGGTAGATGGCAGGAGGAGAGGTAAATGACAGGAGGTGTATATAGGCTGGAGAAGATGACATCAGGTGGGTACACGGTGAGGTAGATGACCGAGATGAGAACACGGTGAGGTAGATGAGAGACGGTGATTATTTAGAACCGCATAGTCTAACCATGGTCAACAACGCTGCACTATAAATTATATCACTACACGGCCAACCACACTACCTTATCCGTGATAAACACAGAGCTTTATATTTTCACTCCACGCCCCATATTGAACTCAACACAAAATACGAGAAACAACACACGTCCCCTATTTATCCTATCACAAAACACGAGAAACAACACACACCCCCTATTGACCTCTACACGAAACACGAGAAACAACACACGCTCATATTGACCTCAACACAAAACACGAGAAACAACACACACCCCTAGTGACCTCTACACGAAACACGAGAAACAACACACGCTGTTAAACTTACCCGAAACAAAAGAACTGAATTATCAAATCCCACTCATAACATTTCTCGCACCAATAGCAATTCTCACACCAATAACATTGCTCACCCGAATAACATTTCTCACTCAAATAACATTTCTACACATCTGAACTGAACGCAACCCTACACGCAATGTTAAACGTTATCTACTATTTTACAAAGGCGTAATATGGATACAAATCTTTCTTTTTTAAACTGAATACTAAGCTAATAAACTACACTTGAATAATCTAGATCTAAACTTAAATATCTAATCTAGAGTTGTAAATGTAGCTAACATACCCAAATTAAGCTTCCAAATATGAAATTAAAAACCAATATTCACATTAAAAGAATAGAAAACAATATATTATATTACCTGGAATACGCGTAATTATCTTTTAATTATAGAAAAAAAAAACCGCACACACATCACTCGTATTGTGTCGATGTAGAGGATGCCATTAGAATCGATGGACGAACTATTATTTTTTTTTTACTCACACACGCACGCACGCACGCGACCAGCGCCACTCTGCTCTCGACGATATCCTTTTAGTGTGTCACTTCTGCTGGTGCCACTGGTCCTGGCACCGAGCGTGTGGTAACACCCCCCCCCCCCCCCGCTTTTCCACCCACCCCCTCCCCTTCACCATGTGACATCCGTTCTGATTATGAGCATTTTATGCAGTAGCGACAAGGGTCATTTTTTTTTTAAACAATTTTACGACCACGAGTCAGTGATTATGGAATTGTCTGTTTAGAATAAAAATCTTTATCTGTGTGTTAAACCTACCTCTCCGTCATCTCAGTAACCCCCCCCCCCCCCACCCCTCCGTACCCCCTCTTTCAATAGCCACTCCAACTCTGTCCCGTTGGCAATCTGGTCTGAGCCAGGTGACACTCGCTCACTGGCCGCGCATCAAACATCTGGAGCAGAATCTATGGTATACCGTTTTGTTATCTTTCAAAAATCTGGAGCAGAATCTATGGCAAACTGTTGCGGATATACTTGTTCATATTTTTTTTTTCAAAAGAAATTCGAGCAGAATCTGATACTTTGTTTTGGCCATTTTTGTTCATTTTTATTGATTTTACAGCATTACTTTTTAGAATACGTGTGTTTGTCCTACGATTTATTCTTTGCAGAGGCGTAGCTACCCATTCCGGCGCCCGGGGCGAACTATCATTCTTAGTTCTATATTTCTAGTTATTCATGTTGATAAAAAAGCGCCCCCCCCTCCCAGTTAGCTAGGTTGGTGACGTTTTTTACCAGTCACCATCACGTAAAGGTTTTCATTGTGGTACAACACAATTGATGAATTAAACATTTAAATATGTGTGTAAAGTCGTGCAGCCGTTTACTTTCTTTGACTTTGACTGTGTATCATTCACTATCTAAGCTTAAAATTTGCTTTTTAATTGTTTTTCTTCAACTTTTTGCGTCCCTTAATGGTTAGCGCCCGGGGGTGGCCGCCCCACCCGCCCTCCACTGGCTACGCCACTGATTTTTTTTGTGTTCATATATAGTTAGAGATACTAAAAGAAATACAAAAATTAGAAAACAGCAGATTTTATTATGGATGGTGGCAAAAATTAGGTGTATGTTTTTTTTTAATCTGTTAGATTTATAGATTGTTATATGAGTTTATGTATAGATTTATATACATATTGATGTATATAATAATGTATAAATTATAGATAATGTATGGATAACTTTTATATAAAGCTTTATGTATGTATGTTATTATGTATTGGTGTTTTTGTAGATTTATATATTACATTAATTTAACTATGTAACTATAATGTAACTATATTACTTGTGGCATTTGTAAAGATTTAAGTTGATAGCAAATGAAAAAATTATTGAAGATAAGCCCCCGCCAAAAAAGATAACCTCCGCCACACCATTAGTGATTATGTACTAGGCTCAACGTACTTTGAGATTTTATAAAAGTGGGTGAAATTAATAATTCCCGCATGAAATGGTCTGTATTTCAGAAACTTAAACCCTAACCCTCTAGGTTGCATGCGTGCATTAGATCGGAGATGGCAAACAATGGCAAGGTTAACTCTTCGAGCGTGCATTTTGTATTAGTGGCGGGGCTTATCTGGTCAAGACCCAAAAATAAATACGTATTTGGACAGGTCGATATACGACGTACATTGTTTCAGACGAAAGACCCGGCAATTTTAAAAATGTATGGTATACAGATTTATTTCTTATAACTATTAATATTACAGGCCTCCTTTGATACAAATATGCGCCTCCCCGGGGGATGCGCGCCTCCCAGTTTTGGGGAACCTCTGCTTGGTATGGTATATTTATTCGCTTTTCAAAGTGCAAAGGTCAGGCAATTACGTGATCTGTTTACATGCGGTCTCCCCCGGCAGGTCCCTGTTTGCGTCGCATTACCAATCTCACTCGCATCTGGTAATACGACGTATCCGCCCTCTTTCATCACCCCCCATCCACACATACACACACACACACCACACCCCCCCACACACATCCCCACACACACCATCCCATCTAATCGCCCACTGTGCCATTAGCAGAGTTACTTCCCTTCCTGGGTTGACACCCCCCCCCCCCCACCAATGAGTTCGTCAACAAACCGACCGTGGCTGTGTTTACTATCATGCACCCTGCACACCCCTCTCGTCCTCAGATGGTGGTACGACCCTCCACGCGACTCGAGCGTACTCTCAAACATTAGCTAATTAAATACGTTGACATTCATTTGTCTATTTTTAGCTCGCTCGATCGATAAAGGATTAAAAAAAAACGGAAAATAAGACATGAAATTACTTAGAGTAGTCCAGAAAATATTTAAAACTAAAAACTTAGAAGTAGCGTTAATTTGGTGAAAGAAGCAAAAAAGTATTAAGTAAAATTTTAAAACGTACTGAAAGGAAAAATCAAATACTTTAAGAATTTAAAAAAAATGTATTTTTAAAAAAATCTAAAAAAAGAAAAAAAAATGTTTAATTATTAAACACTTTTAATGATACCCCCTAGTGATTTTACATGTATGCCGAGATCACCAAAACAAATGAACTCTACTTCACTTGCCCCATGAACCCGCAGGTTCGAAAAGGGAACTTTACTATTTTTTTTTTTCAAAAATTATTTTAAACATCTTTTACTAGCCAATTACTCATTTACAGTTTCATGAAGAATGTGCCTCGCACTTCCACAGCTTAGCTCATCTTTTAAGGATTATCATATCATAATTATCTCACGTAAAAAACAAACAGTATTATCACACCCGCTAAAATTAATAAATTACTTGTTCAAGCTTTCGCTCACATTTTCGTAAAATCAGTCAATCAGTGGGATTGAGCTTGTTTATAAATCATACCAAAGCAAAGTTTTGTTCTTAACTCCAATCACATTTCGTAAATCGAGCCACCATGATTTACCAATAAGGGAGGCTATAATGTGTATGTACTTTTTATCGTAATTCATGAGTTATTTCCCTTTGTAGTTATATTTCCATTTTAACCATTTAGTGGGCGAGTTATGCAGGGTATAGGCCTACGTCACACGTTTCTTAATAAGCGAATGCTGTACCTACTCACATTTTGTGAAATTATCTTTTTAACATCATGCATAAAAACCTTTCAACCTGAATGATCATGGCAAGCTACTGTTACCCCGATCGTTAAAGTATCAAATCAATCAATCAATCAATCATTCAGTCAATCATTCAGTCAATCATTCAATCATTCAATCATTCATTCAATCAATAAATCAGTCAATCATTCAAACATTCAATCAATCCATCTATCAATCCATCATTCATGCAATCAATCCATCAATCAATCAATCATCATTCAACCCTTATTTGGGTCGCTGAGGCTGACTCGGTCCTCTCCTGATCTGAGTAGTTCTGCAACAGGCAGCCCAGTCAAATGGTTGATGTCCTCCATCCATTGACGTCTGTCCTTCCCTTTCTCCCCCCCCCCCCCCCCATGGCACATTGTCCTGTATTAAAATGTCAAATATACCAACTTTATATGTGTATGTACAAAATATATTTTATCAATGTGTTTTTAGATATTCCAAATTAAAAATTGTGTCATCTTCCCTTTGCTGATAACAAGCACATTTTCACCAGAATACATAGCTTGTTAGCAGAGGAATCATTTTTTTAAAGAATTAAAATACCAGGTTGCAGTATGACAGGCGATACTGTAGTTAGATTTACGGTCTGGCTTACTCTAGGAGTAGTCAGGTTTAACCTGCACCCCCCCCCCCCTCCAAATTCACTCTATTTCCAAGGAGGGGTCATTAGTAACGACACGTTTAGCAACTCTGCCCATGATAATGTGTGGGATAAATCGTCGTCTATTAGCTTCAGTCAGACTCACATCTTGCATTTTAAACAAACGATCCCCAATAAGACAAAAGAC